GAGACTTAGAAATAACAAAGCATGTTCCAAGCCACACAGATTAAATGTAACTAAGCCCAGACTTAAGTGTGTGTTGAATTAGTACAGCAGAAAATGTTCTTATTAAATACCCAACAATTCCTGAAAATAAATTTACTTATTATGTTTTATATAAACAGTGAGCACTTTTCTGTGTGAGTAGGACATATTCAATATTTGGCACACATATATGGTACAAGATTGTCAATGCTTTATTGGCGTTCAGACTGAAGAAGTCCCAGTTCACCTGATGCTTTCACACGTATTAGCTCTGGCTCTGCAGTGCTATAATGAAAACAGCATTCAAAACTTGGCATTTTGAAAAGGACATCGATTTCTCAGTCCTGGTCCAAATGCGTCAAGGTCACAAGGATTCTCTGCTCTCTGAAACTGATCATACTGAAAGGGAAAAATTGTACTAGGAAAACTATTCCTTTTTTAAAAAGTTTGGGGGCTGGGGATTTAGCTCAGCATCACAGTGCCTGCTCGGCAAGGGCAAGGTTGTGAGTTTGATTCCCGGTACCGGAAGAAAAACAAAAAACAAACAAACAAAAATTTTAAAAGTTTGTTCTTTTGCAAGTGCCTACCTCTGTAACTGTTTCACGGTTCTGTAAATATTTGCTTGACCCCTGTAACCAGAAAAGTGTAACGAACATGCAGGATGTCTGATTGTACCAAGCTTCATAATCATTAATCTAGCCCTGTAACCGATGAGCTTACCCTGCCAGCTAATTAGAAGAACTGCCAGGCTGTTCTGCCTCACCTTTGTACCTCCTTTTTATGTATCACATAAAATTTCTAGACCATCAGAGATGGAGAACTGATATTGTAGGAATTATCTCAGTCTGTGCCTGTGGATGTAAAATAAAGCCGCCTCCAAATCCTGGGTGTTGCTTTCGTGTTTCTGTTTGCTGTAGCAATAGTTACCTAATGGGGCACCCGTAGCCATGGTGTTGTTGATCACTACAAAGGAAAGACCTCTGAGGAGTCTCACACTGGCAACTAGGGACGTATTTCAACCCTGAAAGGATGTGTCGCTTTGTTCAAAGTCATTAATCACGCAGCCTCATGGCTGTCCCTAATTAAACTAAGGATCAGAAGACAATGATATTTGGTATAAAGAAAACATAAAGTGAGATATGTATGTTCAGCAGCCTAATGTAATAGATGATAGATTGGTTAGATAGGTAGAGACAGAGGTAGATATAGAGAGATAGAGAGATAGATAGATACAGAGATACAGAGATGATGCAGAGATACAGAGATGCAGAGATACATGATAGAGAGATAGATGACAGACTGAAAGAGATTATCTGTTGAGAAGTTGTGCATATAAATACAGACTAGGCATACATCTACATGTCTGTATTTAGCCTTCTCTTTTATGAAAACAATCTGCTTTCCCACAATTACAGCTGTGAGAGGAATTAGAAGCAAAGTCACCTAACTCCTACCTGAGTATGATTTTCCATCTGCTCTGATAGAGCCCTTTCATTTTCATGGTTTCCTGATGGTGATCTGCCATTACTTCTCTGGTTCCTTGGACCTAGACACAACTCAAGTTCTCTCTGCTCTCCCACTGCTCTCAAAACATCTATAGTCCACCTTCTACATCTCATCTTTTTCTTTCTCACTAGAGCATATAAGATCGGTGCTTGTTATGGGCCATGACTTTGACATTCAAATCCTCACAGCTTGTGAGACAACACACACTGCACAGAGTACGGGGAAAACCAACATTCAGCAGATGGAACACCACTCTGGTTAACCATTCACCCAAAATTTATTGCCCAATTGGTGCTACACATTTATAAATTCTGCTCTTGAAGGAAGAGGAAGACACTTCAGGAAACTGTTATGAAGGGCATGTGAGCAGAAGTGAAATACAATTCTAGTCTCATGACAGGGTCCAATGTAGTGCTTTCTCTGATCCAGTGTTTCTTCCTCTGAAGAGGAAGGCCCCTGTCTTATAGTGGCCCACAAGCTTTCCTTGTAAAGAATCAGCACCTTCAGGCTCTGTGGCTCATAAGGCTTCTGCCATAACAACTCGTGTCTGCATTTTGTCTGACAGCAGCCATGGAGGAGATGCCATGTGCAAGGGTGGCAAATTTATTAAACTTTGTGAAGGAACAATGAAATTTAGATTTCACCCCTTTGTAAGATGTTACCAAATATTCTTCTTCTGAATTTTTTTCAAACATTCATCAATAGGAAAACCACTCTCATTTCCCAGGTCATACTCCAACAGACAGTTGCTTTTGGTCCTCTTCACACTTGTTTGCCCACCCCTGCTACACTAGATAAAGTCTACTATGTTTGGTTAAACAAGATTTTACATCTTTGCGTTTTTCCCTCACCCCTTCCTCTGCAGCGTATAGAAGAAATGACATCTTCCTGGAATGTGGAAGAATGGGTGGAGCCTGCAAGCACCAAAAAACTCACGGGTGCTCCATCCTGCCTGCAGAATGTAAAAGCCGCCACAAGCACTGCTGCAGACTGTAGCTGCAGCACCAGGACCGTGAGGGCGAGGGCAGTAAGAAACCCAGCTTCTCTGACTCCTGCTTAGTAAAGGCACCGCTGTAACCTGTAGAGCTGCACCTGGCCTTCCTGGGCGGGGGGTGGGGGAGCTGACGTGCCTTTCACTGGGCTGGGGAATGTGGGGCACACCACTCCTGAGCTGATTTGCACAGACACTTCCTTTCTCACAAGTCTCACTTTAAGTGGCTGTTCTTGGAGACCTCTACAAGCTACATAATATGTCTATGACTCTGATTTGTGGAATAAGTGTGTGTGTGTGTGTGTGTGTGTGTGTGTTGTGTGTAATATGTGTGGAAAGAGTCCAGCACATGTTAATCTCACTTCTCTGTCCTGTGCCCTGTGCTACTCAGTCATAAATAGCTGGCACTGAGACCACAGCCCACAGAATCAGACCTCAGAGGTTGTTGAAACCAATCCAGATTCCCACCTCTTGGAAGACAGTGGCTATTTTCTTCCCTTCAAAGACATCTTTCCAGATTTCTCTTTATTTAAGCATTTCAGTTGTATTCTGACCACACATCTTATGCAGTCACTGTCGCTTGTCTTGAGCACACCTTGATCTTCTGGCTCTGCCTCTGCTTCTCCTCTGAAAAGCTCCCTTCACAAAATTCAAATCTCGGCTGTGTGGACAAGGGTTCCTTGGGTCCTAAGGGGAAAGTTCTAAAGGAATCTGAAATCTAGAAAGGTGTCTTTGGAGGGAAGACTCTTTCCCTTAGAATAAAAGACACATTATCACTAATCCTCCTAAAATACTTCCCTTTGTTTCAAGCACACTTATCCAACCATTCTTTCCACGTTCTGAAGCTGTGCTGGATGTCCTCTTCTGTGAATATCTTTAAACTGTCATGGCTGCTTCAATGTCCTGAAATGATTCAAAATATTGACCATTTGTGGTCATTTTTTGTTCTGCAGAACTCAAATTGTTACCGGTCACTTAGGAGCATACACTGCTCCCATAGGTTCCTCGGTGTTTCTCTATTGTTTAGAAAGCAAGTTAAAATATCTTTAAATTTTAAAGTTCTCCAAATGTTTGTCATTATTTCCCAAATTTCCTCTGTACCCATGATCTGCCTTCCAGATTGTCCCTAGTGTTATGGAAGGAATAATTCTGACATAAAATCCTTGCATATTTTTCCTACACCTTGGAAAACATTTATACCATTTATAGTTTTCCTGGATAATTCTTAGTTATTTTTAAGGTTTTGCTCAGATGTGGCTCTTTTTTATTTATTTATTTATTTATTTTGGATTTTTTTCTGATACCGGGAACCGAACTCACGACCTTGCGCTTGCCAGGCAGGCACTGTGCCGCTGAGCTAAATCCCAAGCCCCTCAGATGTGGCTCTTATTAGGAAGACAGTCTTGACACATCCAGCTTGGGTAGGATGTTCCTTTCTATGAACTTCTTAGTAAAGCAACCATTAGCGTATCCCCAACCACAAACACGTATTCTGACATACAGTGTTTACTCAATAGACACTAAAGAAGTGACTCATCAATGAATAAAGCAAATGACACATCTCAGCTTTTCAATATAATTCAGGATAGATCTATGAAGCGTGAGTTCCTCGGATCACCATATTCTCAAACAGCAGAAGCTTCTGCCAGGGCAATCCCCTGGCATGCGCAAAACACAATTTTTTTTCCTCCTCAGGCACACGCTGAAAAATGAGTCACAGTAATAAGGTATTTTGTGAAATCCATCACCATAACCTGTGGAGAGATGAGAAACACTTGTTTTATGCAGACGTACTCAAGCTTGCTGTGCAGAAAGAGATTTCTTCCAACCCGAGAAGGAAGGAATCTCACAAATCATTGCCTATGAAAGTGCCCTAGATCCCTGTACCTACAGTTTCCTGTCCCAGCTTCTGTAAACAGGAAGCCCTGTTAGTCTTCAGTGCTTGCTCTGAGTGGAAGTGTTAGTGCTGCCCTCTAAAGGATGGGAGAGGAGTCTCCAAACGCTGCTCTTGGGACAGCACATGAGCAGTCAAAGCTCTATTATCCTGGAATTGCCCAGTAGTGCTGTTTTAAAGCGACACATTAAGATTCTGCCTATTTATCTCCCTAGGCCAGGATGCCGCTGAGAATAAATAATGCAACAGCCCCTTTCCTACAACAAAAGCACCACGTACATATTTATTCAAACATATGAGCATATTGACATAACACATCCCAGGCCACCTAAGATATGTCAACAGACCTCTGAAATTCACACATAGTTCCCAAGATTGCAAACCCCTGCTTTGGGATTTTATCATGTATCTGTAAAAATGAAGTTAAAGATCTAAATTTCTAATCTTTCAAAGAAAGGACCCAGAATAATTATAGGTAACACCTAAAATGAAGAAGGATTTGAAGAGAGAGAAGTCAAATCCCACTGTACCCAAAGCCAAGCTGCTACCTCTTATTAGGTGGAGCAAATAAACTCCACCTGAGGTAAAAAGGTTTCAGTGGCCCGTGTAGCCAGCCTGTCCAACGGGGGTCATCAATAGGAATCACCAATTTTCAAACCCAGGACTCAGAGGTCACCTGGGCTGGCTCTAATTGGCCTTATGGTTGCTGTCAAGGTCATGCCCACCATGTTGGAACCAGCACTAAGCCTACTTTGTCCCACCATTGAATCTCAGCTCTATTTCAACTTATTCAAGCAGCCCCAGTCAACTCATATAATGCAAGAAAAGTGATGAGAACTGTGCTATTAGCAGACATTTCACAAATTTGCCTGTCATGAGGTCCTATTTACTCATCTTCATTCCAAAAAAGGAGCTGTTGAGCAGTTTCCCATGCCTGGGGTTTAGTATAGTACAGCTAGTGTTTCCAAGAAACCCTGACATCTGGGCCACCTTTCTTTGGGGAACAATTCACATATACCCCAGTACTATAATCACGAGTGTTATTATGAGAACTCCTGGAAGTTCTTTATCTTTCTCCAGATGGAAGGAAGGAGAGATGGAGAAAGGGAGAGAGGGAGAAGAAGGGAGGGAAAGGTGGGGGAGAGAGAGAGAGAGAGAGAGAGAGAGAGAGAGAGAGAGAGAGAGAGAGA